TTAACGCCGCAAGGAGCCTTTCCTCGTCGATTTTGCCCTTTCCAAGGTCAAAAAGGTCGTGATCTACCGCGTACACCGAGTCACTCTCCCTAAACGAGTGCCATACATACCTATGGTCAGATCCTGTAAATTCGTCACTTACTTCTGACGATATGTGAGGGCTGAGTGCCAGGTCATTCCCCAGCATGATGTCCACGACGGACCCACCCCCTCTCTCGCATGTAGCACCTCCCACCGCAATCGTTGGGTGGAGACCAAGGCTCGTGGCCAATTGGAACAGGACCTTTCCCCTCCCACACCACCTATCTGCGCCCCACAGCGGGGATTTAGCATTAAAATCCCCTAACATCAGTATTTTAGAGTGCGATGACTGTAAATCCCTCACCAGGGCTTCCAACGCCGAGAACTGTACTTCAACCTCCTGGGGATTTGCATTCGGGGTGGTATAAACGCTTATAATCCCCAGTCCATTAAAGCTAATACCAACGTAGCCAATTCCACAACCAACAATTGTGGTCTGCTTGCACTTGGCCAAGCCTGTATTGGTGATAAATATTGCCGCTCTACCCGTGGTGTCACTAAACCAGTTGTCCGGTATGGTGTACGGCTCAGCCACCACTACCAGATCTGCAATCTTCTCTGTAGCACTAACTAACAGCATGTCGTGTGCTAAACGGCAATGATTTATATTCGCCTGCAGGATTTTCATCTTACGCTCGCCTGCTAAGTCTTAGCGCCTCTTTGTATTTGGGACATCGTACCGAGGCCGCTACATGACCAACTTGCTCAATCGGGAGCCCATCGGCCACACAGAGCCTACACCTTGGGTCTCTGTCACACTCCTTCATTTGGTGCCCCTTTTCTCCACATTTTCTGCAGAGTCCCTCTTCGTCGCCCGTCAGTTTGCAGGCGCTTGCCATGTGTCCAATCGCGTGGCATTTATAGCAACGCAAAAGACGCGGGACCTCCCTAGGCGTAACTGCAGTCCAACCTATCAATATTCTTCTATTGATTAGGCGGCTCATGTCCACAGCCGGACCCTCAATCACTGCAATCTTACTCAATCTAGGGTCCACACGAAACACCTTCACTCTAATTCCTTTAGCCTCGTGGCCCAACTCTTTCTTTAACACCTCAATCACTTCCTCCTTTTCCACCGTGGGGTCGATACCTTCGATCTCCACGTCCATCTTCTTTTGTAGACTAGCTACCTCTACTTCGGAGCCTAACTTACCGTCTAGATCCCGCCTCAGGCCCTCAAGATCCGCCCCCGGGGCAAACTCCAGCAGTATGTTGCCCGCCCTAGTCTGCTTCACGTTCCGTATTCCCTCTGGAACCTTACCTGCGGCTCCCTTCACCTTTTTCAATATTTCAGCGAAGGATTTCTCCTTTCCAAATCGGACTGCAATGGCTTGCGGTTTCACATTTCTCTTTGGTGTGGGTGCCCCTACCCTTCCCCTTTCCGGTCCTGTCCTCTGTGCACCCCTTCTAATAGGAGTATCATCCTTATCCATACCCCCACTTACAGAGAGCTTTCTTCTCCTCCTGCTTCTTATTTCCTTCCATTCATCCCCACTATCGCCAACAGCCTTCTCTTCTCTCTGTCTCGCTGTCTCTCTCCCTTGCACGGTTTCTCTAGGCTCCCCGTCCTCTCTCCCACCGAAGAACCTTGTCCTTTTACCATCCCCTCCTGTGGGGGGAGTAATCTCCTTCCTCTTCTGGTGGTTCACTAGGAGAGGTGGGAAATCACTCCTCATTTCGCAATCCGTTTGAGTTTGTATACTAACTGTTCTCTTCTTTTTTTCAGGTTCCTTGCTGCTGCCGTGATCATCCCCGGACATCGACCACAACTTCGGACCCTGGTAGGTACCCTTTTCCTTTCTCTTTACCGTATGGTCTTTGTGCGCCTCTCTAAGGCCATCCACCGCTTCGATGACCTGGTCAAGACAACCCTTCATGGACTTGTAAGTCCCTTTAAGTATAGGGTCAATTTCTCCCTCTTTCCTCTTTAATATTAGATTATCAAAGACCATATTGTGGTCACTCAGCGCCTTCAGTATCTTCTCGATGGCTTTCAAACTCGCATCTACTTTCTCCTCTAGTGAGGGAGAACCCATTTTGTGCATTTTCGGAGCTATACCAGCTGTTCCACTCATTGTCGACCTCGTGCTGACGTCGCTATCCTCGCCCTCCGCTTCGTCTCCGGTTAAGTCCACGGAGTCGGTCCTTCCAGAGTTCTCACTTCGAACCCTGCACCTGGTCGCACCAGGGGGGGTTCTACTTACACGTGGCTTCTTAAAAAAGGCGCTGGGTACAGCCTGTACCGCTATCTTGGGATTTTTAACCTCGCCAGACGCTGTTGCTAGTACGGGGGCCTGGCGGTCCACCTCCCGTACTGCGCAGTTGCTTGTTAACGACGTGGGGGCGCCTGCGCACACACTGCCCTCCACGCCGGTACTGGGGGGTCCGAATCCCCCTGCACCGTAATTCTTGATCCTTGTACTGTCGTTATCCATTATGTTTTATTTGTAGAATTAGCCTTAGACGTAGCCAGAGTCGTCATAAGTCAAAAACAGTCCAAAACCCCTGTTCAGTATATCCTTCTCAGTTCCAGTATAAATAAGCCAGGTCGTCGCCGAAAACCCCGCAGCACCACGGGGGGAAACCATAACAGTAAGGGTCACTGACATGCCTCAATTAAAGGCCCGAGCATGAAAATGATGGAAAACCCCCAAAAACGTCGTAAATAGCAGTATTACAAATTGTTCTAAACTGGCGCGTACCTCTTATATTTTCCTACTAACATTTGTTTGTACGCTCCAATCTATCACTACCGTCCCAAAACCGTTTTTACGTCACTTCGGGGTACTGAGGACCCCATGGGTAATCAAAGACCCCAGCCCCTGCAAGATGACAACCATACACGCAGGGTTCCACAGGACCCCAGCCCCTGCAGGATGGGAATCCTCCCTACTGGGTGCCTCAGGGCCCCTGCCCCTGGCATACCTCAACCCCACGAACAACGGGTTCTCTACCGCCCCACTGGGGTTCCCGGACCCCACGAAAAGTCAAAAATGCTCCAGGAGCCGGCTTTCGAAGTTTCTACGCGCACTCTCCTTCGCGCACGACGTCACAATGACGTCATGGGGTCCTCAGGGCCCCATGGGTCAAAATGACCCTCTGGGTCACCCAGGACCCCGAAAATATATAATTACGAATCTGCAATAAAAAATTTTTGGCGCCATTTATTCGGTCCCTACTGTAGTGGACATATTAACTTTGACCCGCAGTACCACTAGTCAGCGCGCATTCATTACCGCGTCGATGACGTCAAAATTCGCCTTTGCAGGTACACCGAAGTATCTAGTAAAATTCAAGAGGGGTGCCCATGTCTAAAATCTATTTAAAATTTACTTAGTAGCACTAAAAAGTCATAAGTCACAAATATACACGAATCCTAAGACTCACGGCGCTCCCTCTGCCAATTATTATTTAATTGTACCCTAAATAAACAGTCAATATAATTATTTAAAATTTTTTTCCTATGTCCCCGGGCACCGGAATGTCTCGGTACTTTGCTTTCCTTTTCGCTGTTCTCGTCTGCAGGCACTCCTATTGGCTAAGCGAGTGTCTGGCGCACGTGTACTTGATTCTTTCGAAGTGGATTAACGTCACTTCCGTATCCGTCTTCTTCTACGTCGTTGCCGTGTTCCACGTGTTCGTTTCCACGTTTAATGTTACAAATTCGCAGTGTAAGTGTTAAAAAGACTCACCAGTGCCGTTCCTTGTGTAATTAGTTGTGTGTTATAACCTGTGCTTCCCTATTGTGTGTTCCTAGTGCCGTGAATTGTCCAAATGTGTCCACAAGTGTCCGTAAGTGTGTGACATCGCCACGTAGTTCCGCCATATTGCCTACGCATGTCCTTGTAGTTAAAACCCCTCGTTCTCGTGCATTTAACACTCCACAACCGTTATAAATAGTCACAACTGTTAAAAAATTAATCCTTCGTCCTCGTGTCTATGTGCAGTACGCTCCAGGGTAGGAGTGCGGTAGTGTAAAAGTGTGAATGTCTCGTTCGTCCCTGTCACCTGTCACTTATCGTTCATGTAAGACATATCGTCTCAAATCGTTGCATTACCCAGTCATACACTCGAAATTTATATGTACAGTAAACAATAAACACTAATTAAACACTAATTAAACACACTGCGATAATTTTTATTAAGTTCACTCACATTTTTCCCACTTTTACCGCCACAAGAGCCGGAGCGGACCCGGCACACGTCCGCTCACCACGGCCTCCCGCACCGCACACACTCAACCTAACCCTAACCTAACCTAACCCTAACCTAACCTAACCCTAACCCTAACCCTAACCCTAACCCTAACCTTTTTTTTTTTTTTTTTTTTAACGAGGTGGGAAAAATGCGTTTATGCAGACCGGGCAAGATGTTATGTGCCCGGTACTGTGGGACTCCCATATGGTCTACCCACTAAAAAACCCACCTCGATTTCCCTTCCATTATGCCCCTAACCATACGAAACTCCGCCCCCGGAACCGCTCTGACCAACGGTCTTCAGCAATACTTCAGGGGCGGGCGGGAGAAACGGGGCTCCACCCACACATGGGCGACTAAGTGCTGTCTACTTTCGAGCTATGCAACACTACGGGCAGGAGGCGCAGCCTACCGACCACGAGGCGTGTTCCCGTCTATAATCCGTTTTCGCCTATAATCATTTGTTGGTGATAAAATAGTCTGGAACGTCGAAAATTAAAACCACATACTGGAGTAACCCGCTTGTCAATCATTAAAATATAAAATCTAGTCGATGGTCAGTAGTTAAAATAGTCACCCTACCCTATTCAATAATTAAAGAATAGGGGCGTACGTCACTAATTAAATAAATAAATAAACATATAAATAAATAGGACGATCACTCTACTGGTGTGTAGAGGGCACCTAGTAGCACAAATAATTGCACATCCTCTATTCTGCCACTATGTGGTCGAACGTGGCCTTCTCCTCTCACGTGCCTCCCTTTCCATGTTCCTCTCGTGGGCCTCTTTTTCTCTCATTAAGCCTATAACAAAGCCGATAATCCTGTCCCTTTTCCTGGGTTCTTTCAACGAGTCGATGAAATTTCCAGTGTCCAGTGCCACGCCCACATCTGCGCATAGGGCTGCCCTCTCTGTCCTCCACTTCACGCAATGGAACAGGAAATGATCTGGGTCGTCCACCTCTCCCGGGCAGAACCAGCACTCTGAGCGGTCTTGCTTACCAATTTTTTGTAAATATGTGCCAAAGCACCCGTGGCCCGTGACAACTTGCGTCATATGAAAACTCAACAGCTTCGGTCCCCACCCTATCCATTCCTTAAGGCGGGGAATCAACGCAAAGGACCACCTACCCTTGCTAGACTCCGCCCACCGGCTTTGCCAGGCCTCTAGGGTGGCCTCTCGCTCCTCCTTCTTGATATCCCTCACCCCCTCTATCCTGGCAGGGCCCAATTCCTTACTCCTATAATACACTCTCTCTCTCTCCCTTACCAGGAGGTCTATAGGGATCTGTCCTGTAATAACACACAAGGCATCCGCGGACGTTGTTCTATATGCTTGCGCGACTCTTAATAACGCCGTCCGTTGCGTGCTAATAAGTAATTTACGGTTAACACCCAGTTCCAAACCCGGGGCCCACAATGGTGCCGCGTATAAAATTACCGACTCCACTACTTTATAGTAGAGCCGTCTCGCCATATTCCCAGCCCCTCTCAAGTTTGGCATAAGTTGTGCCAGGATATTGGTGTATTTCAGCGCTTTGTTACAGGCTGTTTCAATGTGAACGCGGTACCCACGGTTCATTTCCAGGATCAAACCTAGATAGCGTGCTGTTCTGCTCGTTCTTATGTCGGAGTCGCCACACCTGAATGTGAGGCCTCCGCACACCTTGCGGCCCGTCAGGAGGATCGCCTCCGTCTTATGGTGGGCGAGCTTAAGTCCCTCTGACTCATACCAGCCGCTCATGTCTCTTATCGTTCTTTCGGCCACGCCCACCATCCTGTCAAAATCATCGTCGATAATGACGATACCTATATCGTCCGCGTATCCTATCAGGTACACGTCCCTCCGAAGTCTAATACGCAATAATCCGTCATAAACCAGATTCCAGAGGATAGGTCCTATAACCGACCCTTGTGGTACTCCTCCGAATACCTGGAACCATAGCGTTTCGTCTCTCGTGTCCAGCATGATCCAGCGATCCTCCAAGTAGCTGCGAATAAACCTAATCAATTCTCTGGAAAAACCTCACGTATGCACCTTATAACACTCTCCCACCTGACCGTGTTAAATGCGTTCTTCACATCCAGCAGAATGAGCAGGCAATGACGTCCCACTCTTCTGGCAGTCTCCCAATGTTTCCTCAGCTTCTTCATCGCATCTAGAGTGGACCTTCCTCTCCTAAAACCAAACTGGTTATCTGCTAGGTCATTTTTGTCGAGCTCAGTTAGGATCCTGCTCTTAACCACTTTCTCTAGCAGCTTCGCCAGGCACGATATAATGGAGAGGGGGCGGTACGCCTTCTCCTCAATACCCTGCGCCTTCGCCTTAGGGAGTAAAACCAACCTCCCCGTCTTCCAGGGGGTGGGCCAATAACCCCTCCTATAACACGTAGTAAATATGTGGGCGAGCCATTTGGACGCGCCCATGGCGAACTTTTTGGCCACCGCTGACGATATTCTATCTGGGCCCGGTGCCTTCTTAGCCGACATCCTCCTCGCTAGTAGGAAAATCTCCGCGGGTCTAATCACATCCGGTCTCTCAACATTCCGATGAAATTCCGGTGGGTCCGGGGGGTCAGACGGCCCACTAGCCCCCACTGAGGTCCTCCCAACTACAGGTAAGTATGTCGGTAAGTATCCTTGGGCACTCCCTGCCCCCATCCCTCTTCCTCTCACCATGTCCGCACCACCATTTACATCAGGTCCCTGCGCGCTATCATCCTCTGATAGGTAAGTATCCCCGATCTCCTCTTCGTTCACTACATTAATGTCTATACTTCTTTCAGGTGGCCGTGCTACAGGGGGTTTCAACATGAACAAATTCTTCACTACCGTCTCCACCTCACCCGGGCTCATAACGTCAGGCTTGTTCGTCTTCCCCTTTAACCGTTTCATCACTATCTTGTACGGTCTCCCCCATATGTCACCATCGACTTCGTTTAGTAACTCCCTCCAGTTTACTTTCTTAGCCTTTTTTACTTCCCTATCCATGTCTTTTCTAGCCTTCTTGTAATCCTCATGTTTAGTTGCTATGTCCAGTTCATTGCCCTTTGCCCTTGCCCGGGTATATTTCCTCCGGCTTTTATTAACCAGCCTTCTCATTTCAGCGATGGACTCTGTCCACCAATAAGCCGGTTTGCGGTCACTCTGAACCGCCCTACTGTAATAAGTGTGCTTATTGACGGCCTTCTCGAGCTCTTCGATGAACTTATCCACCTCATTTGTGGTACCTGTCCTTCCCAGTTTCCCAAAATTTTCGTCACCGTATCTCTTGAGAAGGCTGGCAAGGAGCCTATCCTCAACTATCCTACCCTTCCCCAGGTTAAAGGGGTCCTGATCTCGCGGCAGCCCCGTACCGTCACCCCTAAACTCGTGCAGGATATACCTGTGGTCAGAAGCCGTAAATTCATCAAGGACCATCGATGCATCATGGGTGCTCAGCGCCTGTTCACTACCAAGAAGGAAATCAATTACCGACCCCCCTCCCCTCTCACAGGTCACGCCCCCTTCGGCTATTACGGGGCGTAGCCCAAGGCTCGACGCCAGTTGGTATAAAACCCTGCCCCTCCCACACCAATCTGCCGCACCCCAGAGCGGGGACTTAGCATTGAAGTCCCCCATTACTACAATCCTGTGATGGGACGCACTCAATTGTTTGACCAATAGCTCCAGCCCCGAGAACACATTCTCCACCTCCTGACGGCTAGCATTAGGGGACACATAAACACTGACGATTTCCACGTCGTTGTAGCTAATTGCCACATAGCCGTTACCACTGCCAAATATCGACGTCTGTCTGCATTTTTCTAGCCCTTCACCAGTGATGTATATCGCCGCTCTGCCCGTAGTGTCGCTAAACCAGCTCTCAGGTACGGTGTAGGGTTCGGAAACCGCTACGACGTCCACCCTTCGCTCCGCTGCTCCGACCAACAACAGGTCGTGCGCCAATCTGCAGTGGTTTAGGTTCACCTGCAGTATCCTCATATTACCCTCGCCTGCTTTGCCTTAGCGCCTCTTTATACCTCGGGCACCGGACCGAGGCCGCTACGTGTCCCGCTTGGTCCGGTGGGAGACCATCTGCCACACAAAGCCTACACCTTGTCTTATTTTTGCAGTCCCTCATCTGGTGCCCTCTGTCTCCGCACTTTCTGCAGAAGCCATCTCTATCGCCCGTTACATTGCAGGCACTCGCAACATGGCCAATAGCGTGGCACTTATAACAGCGCAGCAGCCGTGGAATCTCGCGTGCCGTGACAACAGTCCAGCCAATCAAAATTCTCCTTCCGTTCAGGAGTCGACTCATATCGGCAGCAGGGCCCTCAATCACGGCCACTCTGCTTAGCCTGGGATCGGTGCGGAAGACCTTCACCCTGACCCCCCTGGCTTCATGTCCCAGCTCGCTTTTTATCGCCTCATACACCTCTTCCTTCTCAACCGATGGATCTATACCTCTTATCTCTATGTCCATCATTTTCTGGAGCCTAGTGACCTCGACTTCCGGGCCCAAATTCCCATCCAAATTCCTTCTGAGTCCCTCCAAGTCCGCTCCTTGATCAAACTCTATGAGCAGGTTACCTGCCCTGGTCTGCTTCACATTTCGGACTCCCTCCGGGATCTTACCCGCTGCACAAGGGTTAAGGAACCCTTTTGAGGACATCCGCAAAAGATATCTCCTTCCCGAAACGGACCGCTAATGCCTGCGGCTTAAAATTCCTCCTCAGGGTAGTCTTCTCCGCGCTACCCCTTCCCTTGTTTGGTCTGGGGGTTCCCCTCTTGTTGGGAGTGGTCCCCACCCCATCCTCCTCCTCCAAGTTGCTCCGCCTTCTCCTCCTCCTGACTTCCGACCAACCCGGCTCCTTAAAGGCTCCTTCCCTCTCCTGTTCTGTCGTCTGTTCTCCATTCCCATCATTTCCCACATTCTGGGTCTCCATCAGTCCATAATTACCCTGGAATCTTGTCCTCTTTCCCTGCTTGTTTATAGGGGGGGGTGGTCTCCTTCCTCTTCTGCTGCTTTCCAGCCGGGAGAGGAGGGAAATCACTCCTCAAATCGATGTCTGTCTGTATACTAATGCTCTTCATTTTCTTTTCTTTTGCAGGTCCACCATCCGTAGACGAGTCTGTAACCTCCATCATCGCCGGCTTCAAGTGGGTACCCTTGCTTTTCTTCGCAGCTGTATGATCGGTATGTACTTTTCTCAGGTCCCCTACCGTGTCCATTACCTCCTGTATGTGGCCCTTCATAGATACGTACGTACTTCTTAGTATAAAATCCACCTCCTTATCTCCCTTCAATATCAGGTTATCGAACACCGTGTTGTGGTCGTTAATCACACTCAACAGCTTCTCCATGGCCGCTAATCCAGCGTCCACCTTCTCCTCTAGCGTGAGGCTGGTCCTCCTTTGTTGCGAGGGGGTAGGGGTTCCCCCTCTCCTTCCCCCTCTCACACTCTTCTTACTCGTTTCGCTTTCACTTTCCGCCTCGTCTCCCATTAAATCAATCGACTCAAGTCTCCGAGTTGTCGCTCTCGAGACATTACTCTTGGAGCCGCTGGGTGGGGTCCTACTCAACTTCGGTCTCCCTCGCAAAACCGCGACTTGTCACCAAGTCTCCCGGGTTCAACGCCGGGACTTCGCCAGTAACCTTTACTGGTACGGGGGCCTGGCGGTCTGCCACCCGTACTGTGTAGTTGCCGGTTAACGACGCGGGGGGGCCTACACACCCACCACCCTCCGCGCCAGTACTGGGGGATCCACCCCCTGCACCGTAAACGATCTTCCTTTTATCCGTGTTATCCATATTAATTTAAATAGAATAGTCCATTAGCGTAGCCACGTCGTTATAAATATAGGCCGTCCTAACCTCAATCCATACCCAAAATCGTAAACCATAAAGTAAAGCCTAGTGGTCACCATCGAAATCGTAACAAAGTCATTTGACACCATTACGCCATCATTGCCAGGTCCTATACCAGAAACACTCTCCAGGGCTTCAGCACGTAGCCACGGATTGGGCTTATTCATGCGTACTCGTACCCTCGCATGCTCATACTCTCCCCCCCCGCAGCACTCCACGGTAGGCGTCATAACATTAAAATGGTCTTTGTCAGTCTCGTAACACCATAGATAAAACAATACGTCGTACGGATCCAAAAACCCATAATAAGTCCCGTCAGGTTGTCAGAACGTCCAATAAAAGCCGTTGGCTGGTCTTGATACCTCGTACCTGTGTGATGTTTCCTATGTGTATATTACGTGCGATGTGCCCCCCGTAGCATCCTGGTGGATCATTTAAAATACTTGTGTGCCGTCTCGACACGTGGCCCCGCCATATTGTTCACCTCGTGTCCACACCTGTTTTCTTCGTTTTTAGTGCCAATATCCCTCTATTTCCGTGGTTGTTATAACAAAATTCACTCGCGTGTCACTTCCCAAGATGTTTTTTCAAAAATCCCCCCCATTCCGATAGGGTACAGTGCTGTTTGGGGGTACTGGTGGTGTTCACCTGTCACTTTCGCGTATCAAAATCTTAAAACGGCTATAACTCCCTTACCCTTGGTCCGATTTTCAAAATTCATAGTTTAAATAACCACTGCCATTGACACAACAACTTGCGCTCACGAAATAATTTTTTCCTCAAATTTTTACCACTAATATACCGCAAATTGCCGGAGCGGACCCGGCACACGTCCGCTCACTACGCCGCCCGCACTGTAACCCTAACTCTAACCTAACCCTAACCTAACCTAACCTAACCCTAACCTAACCTTTTTTTCTTTTTTTTTTTTGTTTGATAGAAGAGGAAAATGCTTTTACGCACGCGCAGGTTATCCCCTTGTCGCACTATTCGGCTAGAGGGGGTCCGGGCAGTGTGGGATTCATATCCCCTGAAGGGGGGCCTGGCTCCCGTTGGTAAGGGCAAACCCAAAGAGGCAACCCAGAAGGGGCAACCTGATAGCCCAACCCTAAAGGGTGGGCACAAATGATAGCGGTCACAGCCCGGAAGGGGCGACCCTGCGGCGCCCAGAAGGGGCATCCGCGGCCTGATATACTACCCACTAAAAACCTCTCTCCTGACGTAGGCCGCCGGTACCCTTTCATCCGTTGAGGATATCCCAGTTGTACCGGCGATAGCCGCGACGGCGCTTTAGCTCCCAAGCTTTCATGTTCGCTTTCGTCTACCCTCAATCCGCTATGCGCTAGGCAACCACAGGGGATTGAGGAGCCACGCCGTAACACCTCCGATCAAGCGGTAGGATATTTTAACCTGCACGATTTATGCGCAGGATTTTTCTTCGGCCACGACCAGGAACCGGAGGACTTTCCCACTCATCGGGTGATCGCGCCCCTACTTCACCTGCCTGCCATTAGCGAGGCCAGGACTCTCTCTTCGGCCACGACCAGGAACCGGAGCTCCTGCTCACGGGTGATCGCGCCCCTACTTCACCTGCCTGCCATTAGCGAGGCCAGGAAACTCTCTCTTCGGCCACGATCAGGAACCGGAGGACTTTCCCACTCATCGGGTGATCGCGCCCCTACTTCACCTGCCTGCCATTAGCGAGGCCAGGAAACTTTTTCTTCGGCCACGATCAGGAACCGGAGGACTTTCCCACTCATCGGGTGATCGCGCCATGACTTCCGCCTGCTTGCAATGCGAAGACAGGGCTTCTTCTTCGGCCACGACCAGGAACCGGAGCTCCTGCTCAACGGGTGATCGCGCCATGTGTTCCGCCTGGCATATATGAGCACAGGGCTTCTTCTTCGGCCACGGTCAGGAACCGGGAAATCCTTTCCCCGGTTGACCGCGCCATGTCTTGGTACGCTGCAACCCTCGATGACTTGTCCCATACATACTCCAGACACACACACACCACTCCCAAAAAGCATAGCATCGAATGTCCGAACAACCCAAGCAAGTAAAGGAGGCATGCAGAATACCCATGAAGAAAATAGGCACATAGAGTAGCCGTTCCCTACCCAGGTGTAGAACGAAAATGTAAGAAACAGACTCAGACTCCAATCCTATCGCATGAGTAAGATAATGTAGAAGTAAAAATTGCTGTTGGCAAGAGTGGTAAAACAGGCAGCTGTAGCAGAGAGAGTAGAAAAGAAAGAAAAGTTAGTTAGGGAAGTATAATAGTAAATATTAGCACACACAATCAACACCCAAACTAAATTAACCACATAAGACTGCGTTGAGCTCTGCTGCATTGAGTAATAACTAAATAAATAAGCAATGAAGTAAACCGATAATCAAGCAAAAGTGTCAAAAGGAAAAAGGAGTATTCCATTAGGGCGCCTTGAGCAATAACAATTCTTATCAAAGTATAAACAAACATTGCTGCGCTCACTTACTTTATTAACAACTGAGCCATATCAAAATGGGTAGAAGAAAGTGCAAAATTATACATACAGTATTGTCAAAGCCGAACTAAGTAGATGTAAATTTATAATATATAATTTGTATATGGATTAATATAGTCAAGACACAGCATAATAGTGACACCTAAGTCATCTCATAACACAATGCAACAGAAAACGCAGGATCAAACTGTCCTTAAAATATATATGAAGGTAACGCAGCACAATGAAACGTACATAATATATGCATTCAAACAACCAATCCATATAAACCAAACTGTACCAAATTCTAATAGATTCTAGTGAATTCCATTGAATCCATTATGTTCAGCATGCAATAAGGCCAATTAAACTACACTAAGGCATATAGACACATGTCATCACATAATAATGTAAATATGTAAATACGGCAGGTACGGTGAAATAAAACAAGCACTTGTCAAGTCGTTTAATTAATTTAACCTAATTTATTCAATATACCATATCCACCGCTAATCACCCCATTCATTTTATTCACTCAATTATATAATATAATGGAATAGAAGATAGGGAGTTATATAATACAATACAATACAGTTTACAGTGTAGCACAAAATACTGACTAAGTATAACCTAATGTAACTGAAATAACTAAAATAACTGATATTAATCCAAGATCTGATATAATAATATAGTAATATAACATATTCAATACTTTATTCAATACATAGATTGAATTGAACGGAGATAGAAGGTAATTGAATGTAATAAACATGAATATAATATGACCATAATATAAAATAAATAATATAATATAATATATTATAATTTGCACAAAACGGAGTAAATAGCACCACTTTGAAACACATACACTGCAATGGAACACAATGCATCACGGTGGAGCGCGCATTTTCACCTCAATCACCTTTGCACCAATTTAAATTTTGATTTAAACTTAAATAGCAGAATTAAATAATTAATTTAGTTAACACTTCACATCACAGATCAAGGACGAGTAAATAAAGCACAAATTTGCACAATGCCCGGAGAAGAGAAGAGTAAACACGCGGCACCGAAAACTATGTTACCTATGACTGAAAACCGGGCCGAGTAAAAGAGCGAGAGCGAGACCATAAAGCATAAAACATATAGAGATAGAACCTAGAGTTCATAAAATTCCCTAGTTCACTCCATAATGGTTATCAACCGTCAATTATCCATTGTTGCGTGTGTATTTAGTGTTCTAGGGATTTTCTTTATAAAAGGCGCGAACGTGGGTAAGGTGCCGCGTGAAGCGCTGAAGCGCTTTGCTCGTGGCGTGGCGTTTAATAAAATGAAAACACTTTGCGTTTAAAGATATTTTTTGATAATAACTTTATTATTTCCTTTTCAAAATTTATATCCAGACGGGTTGAAGCTTTGAATCGTTCTGAGCTTGGCGGTGAAGATCTTCGATCGATGTTGGCTGCCATCCCCTCCTCGCTGGATCCTGAATCCTCCCTCAGGATCATCCCTGGCCCAATGGTGGAGGAGTCCATCCTTGTCCGGAGGCGGTCCCTCTCCCTGGCTTCGGTCCACCCTCAGGCGAGTGGAAGATGGTGGTGCTCCGCCAAGATTCGAGAACGATTCCATGCACACGTGCTAAGAGAAAGCGTGGGATCCAGAGAGAACGAAAGATAAAAAGGTCTCGCGCTAGCGAGCCAAGGCAACCCTTAAGAAAATTTACGACCCTCTGAAATAAGCAGGATGTCGAAGTGACTTCGACAGTTTTCAAGAATCAACATGATTTTCGTTAAGAGTAATGAATTAGATACGGCCCCGCGGTATATTAGTTTCTTAGAAACTTCAAGTGTGACAGTCCTTATTTCTCTGGTTTTCCAACTCTCTCCCAGCACGACCACCCGCCGCTGAACGATTTACAATGTCCTTTCCTTTGTTTGTTTATTACTTTGAATTTTGGCTCCTAATTTTATGAGCATTGATATAACATAATGCAGACATGCTGCAACCATACTCTTATGCATCGTCGCCATATTACATTTCATTCAATGCTTGTGATTACAAGCTTCCAGCTAGATTCACACGATATTGCACACATACATACAGGCGAGGTTCGCAACACCTCCCCCCTTATACAAAAGGTGTTTCCAATGGGAACAACTTTCCTTAAAGTGTTTACGCTATCCTAAATTACATTATGTACTCGTACGGAACTTCACGTTTCCACACCCTTCTATATAAGTGATTCCTCTAGTGAAAGCATTTCTAACGTCGCATTAGTCATATAATAATACGTTGTAGATATTATAAATTCTTAAGATACATAACTTAAACCCTAAATTAAGAATAGGTAATAATTTCTTTTTGTTTGTTTTTTTTTTCTTTTGTTGTTTTTTTTTGTTTTGTTTTTCTTAAATCTATGAAAGAGATATATTATATTGCACGCGATCTCTTAAGGAGAATCTAGTCTTATACAAGCTAACTTAAGTTTATTGGTGTGGACTATCTTAAATTTATTTACTCCTATTTCTATTTCGACATTTAGGTCGTTACATATTCTAGTGACCTTGAATGGTCCTACCCAGGTGCAATCAAATTTCGAGGTTTTAGGTTCTTTAAGTAGGTACACATTGTCACCTACAACGAATCTGCGAGGGTTTGTATTTTTATCATATAATAACTGCTCTTTTGTTTTGCCCTCTCCAGGCTTACTGCTGCTGTAGATTGAGTTTTTGTAATTCTGGAGAATAAATCATCCAAATAACCTATGAAAGTACGTGGTGGTTCCTGCTTAGAAAATTCAGATGGAATGGTGGCTTTCACGCCAAACACCAGTTCGTGTGGGGTGAACCCAGTGGCTTCATGTACTGAGGTATTATAGGAGAATATGCCAAATCTAATCCATTCGTCCCAATCATTTTTATTGCAAAAATGTTTTAGATAATCTATAAAAACACGGTGTTGCCCGTTCCAATGAGCCTAACGACTGTGGATGAAACGCTGTGGAGGTTATTTTCTGTATTTTGAATATTTTGCAGAAATTATTCATTATTTTACTTACAAAATTGGTTCCCTGGTCTGTATGAATTGCGCGAGGGCAACCAAACCGGCTGATAATTGTTCGGCAAGAGCTATTGCTACAGATACAGAATCAATATTAGAAAGCGGAATGGCGTCTGAGTATTTTGTAAGGTTGTCCTGGAGGGTAAGCAAGTAGCGGTTTTGTTTTTTTGTCAAAGGTAATGGGCCAACAATGTCCATTTGTACCTTTTCAAATGCCTGTTTTGGGGTGTCTGTGATTTTCATGGGTTGTCTTGTTTTTGCAGAGAGCATTTTATACCTTTGGCAACTGGAGCAAGTACGTGTAAAATTAGCAATTTCCTTAATCATGTTTGGCCAAAAGAAATCTGCTCTAATTCTTTCATAAAGTTTATGGGCACCCTGGTGACCACCTACGGTTGACTCATGGTATTCTTTTATGATGAGAGGCCTATTTGTTAGAGATGGTAATATAATTTCTCCAGTGCAAACCGTAATGGTGTACTCGGAACTATTTAATTTCTGTTTTAAATGATGTTCAAAGAAAATTCCAACTAATCGGTTCAATATTATTATTATATTTAGAGATGCTGATACCTTTTACCTCCAAAGAATCTATGAGGTGTTTAAGGGAGCTTAAAGAAGATTCAAGGTGAACAGGATCTACTTGCTCTACCGAAGATGCTTTTACAAAAAGGGTGAAAAACACGAAACCTTTCATCTGTGAAAACTAACGTTTCCTCAACATTAATATTGTACTGTTTTACTCTTTCTACAGAGAAATTTTCCATGCGTTATAAGATCTTTACTTGTTTGTGACGTGATTTCATAGTCTGTGGAGAAAAAATGGATAAAATTTTCCTTACGCATGTAAAGATGATCCTTTGTATAGAGGATGGTGGGAGATGAGAAAGGTGAGTCGCTGGTATTGGCGAGGATGTATTTGTCAGCAAAACTGTTACGTCTTTTTCGTCTGTGTATGTCACTGTCTACTGAATAATAATTTCTATTAAGTTGTATCTTATCCATATCGGGCGTCCCCCGATGTTCCACCCCCAATGATACCGCTCCGTAAAAATCTGGGCTCCTCAGCCCCCATCCCGATATCAACAACAGGTCCCGGGTTGGAGGTTCGAAGCGGGGTGCTGTGGTATAGCCTATCCGATATCAACGAACCAACCAGAGCCCGGGCACCCCAATCACAACAAGCCCCTTCCGTATCACACAAAACGGGTCTCAGGTGGGCGATCCGAAGCGGGGTACTATTCATATAGCCTATCCGATTCCAACGGATTCAACCCAACCTGAGCACCCTTTACCACATGGACGGCTTTCCGACCGACTCCCGAGCGGGGTGCTTTTGTATCGCCTATCCGATCTCGATCAGAGTACCCGCCGGTGCCGAACACGTAACGGAGTCCTTTCTTCATCAAAATCATCCTTCCTAAATTCACTAGCGGCATCAAAAGGGGTTTCATTCTTTCTAGACACTTCTGTCTCTAAGGAGAGCGACATTTCCCTTCGTCTGCTGTTAGATATTGCGTCGCTGTCAACAGAACTAATGTCAGAAACGTCAATTTCCATAACAATCCCAATTTGGTCCACGTGTAAAGAAAACGGCGGCTATTAATTTTTCGTTATTTCCTGATGCATCATCTAAGTCTGTATTCTCAACCTTTCCAGAGTTTACGGGAGGCAAATCGTTGGCGCCCACGACATCCTCCCGCAACCGCCCAAAAGGTGAGGCGTCCGTGTTGTCCGTCGGAGTATAATTTGTTAATTGAGCATTGCTCGAAGAGGAGGAAACTTGTACCGCTTGAGAAAAGTTTGGAGGATTACGAGACAACGCATCGGCATTGGAATTTACTTTTCCGGGTTTGTATATTATGTCATAGTCGTACTCATTCAACTTAATTCTCCATCTCATAATTCGGGATGTAGGATCCTTTATGTTATGTAGCCAGATTAATGGCCGGTGATCAGTAACTATAGTGAATTGATGTCCATATAAATAAGGTCGAAAATGCTCAACAGCGAAACACAATGCCCAAATAACTCCTTTTTCGATCGTGGAATAATTAATTTCTGCACTACTTAAGGTTCGGGATGCATATGCAACGGGGAGATCTTTTCCAACTTGTCCCTGGCTTAATATAGCTCCTACTGCATAGTCTGAAGCGTCCGTAGTTACGAGAAATGGTTGATTGAAGTTCGGAAACTGAAGCAGAGGCTCCGAACAGATAATATCGCGTAATCTTTCAAAAGCAGACTGAGTAACTTCGTTCCATACAAAAGGTACGTCACTTTTTAAAAGTCGCGTCAGTGGCTTAGAAATTTTTGCCATCTGAGGGATAAAACGTCGATAGTAACCAATCAATCCTAAAAACTGTTTAACGTTTTTCTTTGTTTTGGGTAAAGGAAATAACTTTACGGCACTAATTTTTCCAGGATCAGGTTTCACACCTTCTGAGGAAATAACGTGGCCCAGATAACCAATTTCATGACGAAGAAACCTGCACTTCTCAGGCTGTAAAGCTAAGCCAGCGTTCTGCAAACGCGCCAGAAGAGTTCTTAGTTTACGTGAATGTTCCTCCAAAGAATCAGCATATATAACGATATCATCTATGTAGACAAAAAGCTCAATTCCTTGTAAACCTGACAATATTAAATCCATACATCTCTGAAACGTAGCAGGAGCATTTTTTAACCCAAAAGGCATCTTATTAAACTCATAATGACCATGAGGGGTCGAAAAAGCGGTCTTTGCTTTTGACTTCGGGTCCATTGGAATCTGATGAAAACCGGAAGCTAAATCAAGGATACTAAAGTACTTTGCTGCTCCAAGTTGATCCAGTATATCAGTAATGTTGGGAAGTGGATAACCATCACTGATAGTTTTTTCATTTAATTTGCGATAGTCAATGACCATACGCCAACGAGGTTTACCTGACGGACCGGGTTTCTTTGGGACCACCCAAACAGGTGAGTTGTAGGGAGAGGCCGATGGCTGAATTATATTATTTTCCAACATTGAGGTAACTTGTTTCTGTATCTCTTCTTTATGAATAGGTGGAAAACGGTATTGTTTAGTATTAATTGGTAACTCATCTGTTGTCACGATTGCATGATGAAGAACTTTAGTGGAACCTAGTTTTTCTCTCGGCAAATGGAATTGATAAGGGAATTCATTGATAATTTCCAAGATGCTAGCACGCTCAACTTCGTTGAGGTCATTCAATTCTAAGAGTTCAGCTATTTGGACTAACCTGTGAGCATTGTCTTTTTCCCGATTTAACCTTGAATCTATTGTACAACCTGAACGGGGTAATAAGGAGCTTTCTGAAAATTCCTCTAACTCAACCGGTGATATAGTTACATTTACGCAATTGGGGTTAGTATTGATTGCGAAAATTTTTGCAAACCCATTCTGTTGTGCGACTAAAGCTTCTCCTATATAAACACCCGGATCTGTAATTAACCTCCTTATGTAACCTACTTTGATTTTAGATTTCTTAATTGGGACGGATATGAGTATCTTGGTACGAGGAAGCAATTTAAAAGAAGATGATGAGAGAACAAAAAATTCGTCATCAATCTGTAGACTATTTGGCATACTATTCCCGAATCTTAATACCGCATCTTGGTTTTCTAAAAATGGCATTCCCAAAATTCCTGCCTCGGCGATGGGGAAAACATCCCGAACAATTTGGAATTTAACGTTAATGTCACGAACCTTGACGTTAATCTCTCCGCAGGTAAACACTCCTCCTGAACTAATACCGGTGAGATTGTAAACGACACTAGTGTTTATCTCTACATTAGAAACTATTCTCCCGTGTTTTATTAGATTCAATTGTGAGCCCGTATCAATGAGGAAGTCAGCAGATCCTCCATGGAAACAGCTGTGAATCAATTTTATCACCGGAGAATGCCCAATGTTTTTTATTTTCGACCTGGGAGCAGGCCCGACGGGTTTGAAGGGAGCAATCCATGGTTCGTTCCGCGCGACTCCCCGACGTGGAACGCCCTTTGAGTTTAAATGTCCCTGATCCGTGATTTTATGAGGAAAAACACCTTGAGGCTGAGGGAGTTTTGGCCTTGTTTCCTAAACAACGCGCTTCCATATGACCGGTTTTTTTACAATACCGACATCTAATTTGTTCCTGTCTTAAAGGATTTCGTCGCGTTTCTTGAATTTGGGGACAGTGACTTCGCAAGTGTCCCACTTTATTACACTGAAAACATCGGCGGTCATCGAAATCTATTTTACGGACATTCGCGTTCCCAATAAGAGGCTGCGAAGATGGAGACAATCTCGATCCTTCGACCGTTACCGATTCTAATCTACGCGCAATGTCAATAACAGCTTCAAGATCCGGTATTTCTTTACTATCTTTGTCTTTAAGCATTATTCTTAACATTCCGTTCCGAAGGCCGTTAATAAATGTAGCTATAGCTGTATTATTCAATAAATCAACAACACCACTTAACTGTTCAGAATTGTATGTGTCCTTGGCTACCTCTATTCCGGTACTTAATATCTTACTTACTCGTGATCCGAAAACCTCTACCGAATCATTAGTTCCCTGTTTCAATCCCATAAATTCCTCATTAATACTATGCATGTTAAACGAACGGACGTATGCCTTTTTAAGTAATCCAATTAATTCGTCTAACGTATTTGGTTCTCGGCGATTTGAAAGTATTAATTTTGCGTGCCCTACGATTTTACCACGAATTAAAACAGAAGACCGGCTCTATCCTCAGGTTTTACTTGGAACTAATCAGCTGACATTCCTTAATAAATTCAGTCAGGGAACTGGATTTACCGTCAAACTGAGGTATCAAATCCTTCACTAGAGAGAGACGAAGATATGATTCTGAAAGTATACTAGATGACTCTATAGAGGTTGGAGTATTTTTAGAAACAGCAGCAGCAACCGTAGTCGAGGACAAAGGTACATCAGTTATTGTGCTATTAAAAGGGATAGAAGTACTATTCGCCATAACTGTATCAATCCCCTGGGATAACTGTCGAATTGGAACTAATCCTAATTCTTTCGATTGCAGATCGGTAGAAGATGCCCCGGAAGATGAAGAAGATTCTACATTCGATGAATCTATGTTTAATTCCTCCACCAAAAATGTATTACCCCGCAGGCCAATTTTGCGACTCCTTTTGGCGCGCATGTACTTTAACTTAAACGGCGGCATTTTATCAAATTATTACTAATGGTATTATAAAAATAATACTCTATAGTCTAATTACTTATAAGTTAGACTTACAGTTTGGTAAGCGATCGGCTAACGTTTCACAATAAATCACGTTTAGGTTTCACTTAACGAGTTTTCTATTTTCAAACACCAAATTCCGTCCGTCGGTAATCCGTTATCTCGGTTGGCCTTGAATCACGGGGAGAATCCTCTGGTTCTGTGATTTGATGATGTTCATCTGTGGTCCGCTGCTTCTGACTGTCCTTGGCTCCGTGAGAAGATCCCTCAGGTCTCCAGATTGTTTTAATCTACCTCTATTTCCAAATTGAGGAGAGGTCCAATGACGATGTGAGCAAGATGCATGTGATTCCGGTGGATGGCTTGCACGGCAGCCGAAATCACCTGTCTCCGGTATTCACCCTACGCTCTTGAGGAAACCGTGCCAAAACTCAAGAGGGAGAAGTTGCAATAATATTAACAATGTTCACTTATATTATAAAGCTCAATGGAGCAGTCCGTAAAACGTTCAGTTATTTATTTAACACACGCCCGCAAGCCGGCAAAGTTATTAAAGCGTACACAAGTCTAACACAATCACTTTGTTTTGTTTTGCGTTATTTGCAGTTACTACACTGAATACACCTTTTAAAATTATGACGTTTTTGAACTCATCACCTTTTAATAGTTTATCCCTTTTTTTAAATATCCCTTTTTGAATATCCCACCGCTGTCACCAATTTGTTGCGTGTGTATTTAGTGTTCTAGGGATTTTCTTTATAAAAGGCCGAACGTGGGTAAGGTGCCCGTGAAGCGCTGAAGCGCTTTGCTCGTGGCGCGGCGTTTAATAAAATGAAAACACTTTGCGTTTTAAAGATATTTTTTGATAATAACTTTATTATTTCCTTTTCAAATTTATATCCAGACGGGTTGAAGCTTTGAATCGTTCTGAGCTTGGCGGTGAAGATCTTCGATCGATGTTGGCTGCCATCCCCTCCTCGCTGGATCCTGAATCCTCCCTCAGGATCATCCCTGGCCCAATGGTGGAGGAGTCCATCTTGTCCGGAGGCGGTCCCTCTCCCTGGCTTCGGTCCACCCTCAGGCGAGTGGAAGATGGTGGTGCTCCGCCAAGATTCGAGAACGATTCCATGCACACGTGCTAAGAGAAAGCGTGGGATCCAGAGAGAACGAAAGATAAAAAGGTCTCGCCCTAGCGAGCCAAGACAACCCTTAAGAAAATTTACGACCCTCTGTAAATAAGCAGGATGTCGAAGTGACTTCGACAGTTTCAAGAATCAACATGATTTTCGTTAAGAGTAATGAATTAGATACGGCCCGCGATATATTAGTTTCTTAGAAACTTCAAGTGTGACAGTCTTATTTCTCTGGTTTTCCAACTCTCTCCCAGCACGACCACCCGCGCTGAACGATTTACAATGTCCTTTCCTTTGTTTGTTTATTACTTTGAATTTTGGCTCCTAATTTACGAGCATTGATATAACATAATGCAGACATGCTGCAACCATACTCTTATGGCATCGTCGCCATATTACATTTCATTCAATGCTTGTGATTACAAGCTTCCAGCTAGATTCACACGATATTGCACACATACATACAGGCGAGGTTCGCAACACCATCAAACCATCAAATTAAGTAATTAAGTAATTATAGTAGAGAATATATAAGTGCTCATAAGCGAAAAGCGAAAATGCATAAACAAAACAGTTTAAACAAATCAAAATGAATCAAAATGACCAAAACCAAAGATAATGTACCTACAAAAGATGACCATAAGCCGCAAGCTATGCCTAGTTGGTAATCAACCGCAGTACCAAGGATATTACCAGCAACAAATATTCCGTTTACCAGACAGTGATACTCGCCGCTCACTCCGTAACGGCTATCCACAGGCAAATTATCTGCCGCGCAGTAGTTACCTACCACGCGCCAATTACCAGTTACACAGTTACCGACTGCAGAACCGTCCATCGTGCTGCCGCGCAATCCTGGGAAACCGTACTTACCATCAGACTTACCATCAAAGATAAGTCTGGTATACAATACTATAATCGAAAAGATAATTATGCTAAATCAATGGGATCAGAGATAAACTTCAAACGGGCCAACATCAGGCATTAATTAATTATTATATAAAGAAATAAGTCAATATTATGGTTATAAATACATTACCTATATAAAACATCAAATAAGTTTGTGATAAAATAATAAGATAGGAATATAATATAGTTAAAACGCATAAAGTAGCCTGACATGATGGAAGTCAATAAAATAATTAGAAAAATAATAAAAATAATAAATCATAAAATCAGCCCGAATAAGTCCCCGCAGATTGCGCAGATTGCAGGACGCACTGCGTTACTGCATGATAACGTCGCAAAGAAACAAATTATACAAAATGGCAATGAAGATAAAGGAAAACAACCGCCAAGGAATGAGAGGCCGAATAAATAATAAAATAAGACCCTAAACCAAAGCAAAATCAATATGAAAAGCATATAGTCAGGAAAACCCATGGAGCCATTCAGACAACACCCAGTCAAATGATATTAGTTAACAGAATAAATAAAACCAGAATAAAGTCAAGGCAGCAAGGCAACAAGCAACTGGCAGAAAGGAAATATGAGTCAGAAAATAAATCAAAATCAGATCAAATCAATGTATAACTATAATCAGGAGCAACATCAAAACATCAAAATGAATAATGAATAATAAATGAATAAATGAATACTGAATGCGAGAGGAAAAGCTGAAGATATTCACAAACTGAGGAACTACAGCAAATGAAAATGTGTAACGCTTAACAGACATAGCTGATATAATGTAGTATAATGCAAAATAATGTAAAAGAAAATAAGATAAATACAACAAGTGAGTTATATTCTAATTAAATATGACCGTAAACATTATTGACTCCATCCCCACTACTTTATAAATTATAGATTATAAATTGTAAGTGATTATGTCCATGCAAATGCAAATAGAAGGTAAAAATTCATAACCGACTGATGTATAAAGATAGTAAATAATAAATATAATGACAAACAAAAAACAAATCAAATATAAGGTGCCGTGGTTCAATTAGACACCACACCATTACATAGGAAAAGAATAAAATAAGGAATAACAGATAAATAAATAAATAAGCAAAGAAGTAGGGTATTTGAAATGAAATTCAAATGGTGTGATTATAACAGAAGCCACGCGCTGTCAAGCATTTGAATGGACAAAATCATCTATCCTCTCAAGAAAATTAACCATACTTAAATCCAAATAACTCTAAATAAATAATTGTAGATAATAAGCGAATGAATGAATGAGTGAGTGAGCAATAGAGCTATTACAGAAGTTAATCAAGTTAAGGCAAGTAAGGGCAGATAGAGAGAGTAAGGAAAGTAAAGAAAGTGTAAAGTATAGTATATAGACGAACGTAACTGACACAAAATAAAAAAGAATAGAACAAGATACATTGAAGTACATTCCACCAACAAGCATATCCATACACTCATTCATACATCTCACATAGACGCAGTCATCCAATGAGGCTAAATCAAATAAATTTACAAAATCCATTACGTTTGAATATGCAATGAGGCAGATTATATTATCCTAAACAGACATAATATTAAGAAGGTACGGTAAGATAATATGAATACACTCAGCACTCGACAAGGCAACCAAGTGTTTCAGATATAACTGTCAATTAACTTTATTCATTAATTAGCCGTAGAAAGATAATGATGCAAAATATTACACAATATTACACAATACTAACTGAATTTATTGTAAATAATATGTAAAATGCAAATTGGGTATAAGTATAAGTATAAAAATATGTATATGTATAATAATAATGAATATGTAAATATAAATATACAAATATATAAATAAATATAAATAAATAAATATAATATATCAGAAAACGGAGCACAATAGCACATATCACCACTCATTGCAATGGGTACACGCACAAATCACAGACACACACGCACCGATATTCAATTACTCAATATTAATGGCCTAATCAGAACTCAGCAATTTAACGATTCAATTAATTAATTTACGATCCTCCTCCATGTCTCAACCGAGTATATGGCACATGGAGATGGAGTAAACCAGTGCCGCCGATGATCATGTCAACCAAAGATAAGAAACCGCGTGAAGCTTAAGCCATAAACAATACGCCATATAGATGCGTAACCTTTGAGGAATTTCGTAAAATTTACAGTTCGTCCCATTATGTGTGTTGTCTATTAAATTAGTTATCAAATTAATTAATTGATTATTACACGGAACGTACAAGCGCCGCGACTAAATACATCAATAAAACACTTTCAATAAATTACAGTGAACGAAACCAAACAGGAATAGAATGCAACGGAAGGTAACGATAGCGGAAAACATTCCGGTATCTCACTAAATAAAGTAAAGTACGCAACACTATCCGTTGATAATAATTACAAATTATCCTTAGTTGGTACCATCCGCAGCACCGGCAGCCAAATATTATCGGCCACAAGCATTCTACTTATTTACCATATAATACTCGGCCGTTCATCCCGTAACGGTTATCCACCGACCAACTATCCGCCGCGCAGCAGTTACCCACCGCGCGCCAGATATCTGCTACAATCACAGTTACCGACAGCTAAACTATCCGTCGCGCAACCGCGCCATCCTAGGAAGCCATACTTACCATCAGACTTACCATAAAAGATAAGTCCGATATCCAATACTATTCACGGAAAGATAATTATAAACGGACAAATAAGACCCCAGACGGATTAAAATCAAGAATAAATCAATTAATAAAACATTACCACGACTCACGGGAAAGGTAATTATAAAAGCAAACGGGCAACAAATAGAACCCCAGACGGATTAAATCAAGAATAAATCAATTAATAAAACAATACCACGGCTATCATTTATTATTTATAAATATATAAATCATACGTTTGCAATAGTGTAGGATGAAGTAAATGTTAAGTATAAACAATGATGAAGATAGAATGAAATGAAAGAAATGAAGTCAACCCGAATAAAATCCGCAGATTGCAGGACGCATTATGTTACTGCCTATCGCGCCGCAGGAACAAGCCACACCAAACAACGGAACAAAGGAACCGCCCCCCAAACAGAAGGCCGAATAAATAAGCAAATGAAACATTCAATCTGGACAGGATCGAAATCAGATATAACCCTCTAACAGCGTCAAATAGCGACAAATAACGCATATAGTCAGGAATCACGTAGGATCAATCAAACAACACCCAAACCAATAGTATTAGTCAATAAATAAATGAAACCAGAATAGAGTCAGAGCACCCAAAGCAGGAGGCAACTAGTAGAAAGGGATTATGAATCAGAAAATAAATCAATGAATCAAAATAAGTCAAGTCAGAAAACTTTAATCAAACATCAAACGAATGAATAGGTGATTGAATGAATGAATACTGAATGCGAGCGGAACAGCTAAAGATATTCACACCCTAAGAAACTACAGAGAATGTAAAGTGTATAACGTTTAACAGACATAACCGACCTAATGTAATACAATAAAATAAGTACAACTCGTGAGTTATATTCTAATTAACTATAACCGTAAACACTATCAACTCCATCCCCACTATTTTATAAATTATAGATTATAAATTGTAATTGATTATGTCCATGCAAATGCGAACAGGAAGTGAAAATTCATAACCGAATGATGTAAACAATAAATAAAGCGACAATAAGTTAAGAGTAAGTTAAGCAAGATATTTAAGAGGATATTTAAAGGATAGACTAAAGGATAAACTAATAGCAGAAACCACGCACTATCAGCATTTGGATAGACAGCCCTACTTGTCAACACAGAGGAACAAAATCAGAATAAAATAGTCAGCTGTAATCAAAATAAACAGAATAAACAAGCAATGAATAAGAATGAATGAATAAATGAAATCATGGATTATAATGTGAGCACAGCAGTTGTAGAAATTAAGACATTGAGAGAAAGAGAGAAAATAAAGGAAATAAAGGAAATGAAGAGTGCAGCATTGTAACCAAACATAAACGACACAATGAACTGTCATATAAGATAAATAGATAGAATAAATAGATAGGGCATATAAAATGGGTCAGATCCGCTGGAACGTGGCAGCAATTGTTGTCTCTATCACCACTACCTTATACACTATAAATTATAATTATAAATTACAAATTGTAACTAGTTGTGAGCGATATAAGTGATTACGTCCATACGAATGCGAACAGAAGTAGAGATTGACAACCGAATGATGTGCAAGAATAAACAATAGATAAAGTCGCAGATTAAATCAAAATCAAGTCAAATGTAGGGTGCGTGGCTCAGTTAAACCCCATACTATCGCATAGAAACAAATAAATCAGTAAGTAAGATATGTAAATGAAATTTAAAATGATTTAGAATGATGAGCTAAAGACAGCCACGCATCGTCAAAGCATTAAATAAACAAAATTCACCTCACTTGTCAGTGCAGAAGAAACAATAAATAAATCAAATGCATCACTTTAATCAACCGAATCTAGATGAGTGACCGTGAATGAATAATGAGTGAGTGAATGGAAGCAAGCACAATCGTTATATAATTGAGTACTTAAAAGAAACTGACAATGAAAAGAGAATGTAATGGGAAAAGTAAAAGGGAACGGAAGGAAGGAAATTAAAGAAGTTAAAATCAAAATCAGATCCCATATAGATATGTACAGGTGACCACGAACATACCATTGTAAGCAGTCACCATCGAACAATCCATGGTGTATTGAAGATTAACGGTTCAGGCAAAGAGTCAATAGTAAGAGAGGGAGCGCAATTCGTGCAGTAGTTCGTACGCTACAGAAGGCAGCATGCATCCGCAAAGAACAAAATTGTTATAAATTATTATAGATTATTATGAATTATTATAAAACTGTATGACCCTTGATAATTATTTCGTCACACAAGATCAATATTCGGATATCAGAGTAACTTGAATCCTTGGCAATCGAGCTCCCCGCATTCAGGCACCTGTCCCACCGCCTGCCACACAGGACAGAAACAAAACGAAAGAAACGAAACCAAGGAGTAATAGCAGCGACCACGACAATCAAAGCAGTAGTTTCAATAATAAATGACTACATGATTATAGTCACACAGTCGGGATACATTGAGTCTATGAACCGAAAATTGAGATGCCTTAACTAAATTAAATCAATTTCTTATGCTCAAACCACTAGAAGAGCATAAGTGCAGGAAGAAGGTCAGAGCATACACGCCAGGGTGTTACATTCACGCCAGATAGCTATCTGTGTAGCTCACTTCATCAGATACCTGGGGGGGGGGGGGGGGGGGGGGGGGGGGGGGGGGGGGGGGGGGGGGGGGGGGGGGGTATAGGCATTTCAGGACAATCCCGCATCGGTGTGCAATGTCACAAAACAATAGTGCAACCCTGTCAGCACGAGTCTCACATGCAGGGCCCGACCCCAGGTACCTGCGCCGCACGTCAGCCGGCCGTGAATATCTCAATCTCGCACTGTGTGCAGGCCCAATAAACACATGCGCGCCGACATACAGGCTCCATCACCACCAGCCAAGCAGGCTGAACCGTGACGGTGAAGAAAGGGAAAGGAAGGAAAGGCCATAAAGAAGCCTAACACGCTATTGCCAGACCGCGTCACCAATTCAACAGGCAGAGCCACACCACGCGAAACGAAGCATCTCAACGATAGGGATGAGTGAAATATGATCCATACAATTCAACCGACAACCGGAACTCGTGGGACCGAAGCCCCGAGTCGAGTGCCGGGGCGGCCATAAATCTTCGGGTCCTAAATGGTGAAATAAACAGAGACGCCAGACAAATCCAATTACAGAGCTGTCACAGGACAGTCTTAAATATAACTAAAACAACCATATGACAGAAATCCTCACAACAAAATAAAGCTATAACCACTCCATATAGTAAAAATATGAAGTTTAAAATTAAATTGAAAGTAAAAGAAGTACTTTTCTACAGTGCCGAGTCATAAATGAATGAAGCACTAAAGTTGTCAGTGACACAGTAGCCGAAGTATAATTAAAGGGTCAAGAGATAAATCAGCGCGGGAAGGGAAATCATGAAATTCTCAGCAAGCTCAGAAAATTACAAATTCAAGCATCAAAACCATTAAATCCCCACTTCCAATATTCAAGATCATAATCCCATGAGCTGAACCTGAAACATCGAACGGTTGAGCCTAATTACATAACAACCTGGTTTACTAGACGCGTGATTGTCGTATAATATAATGCAGTATAAAGCAGGAAAAACCAAGTAAGCAATAATTCCCAGTCACGGTTATACATTATTAAGAGAGATAAGTGATTAAATTGCCCACAAGACAGTGAAGTATCGATCTACAGTAAACAGTGATGACACTTTCACCCAAACCGACAAGGCAGCCGAAAAGCATCCCTATCTCAGTGTAGAAAGGATTCGAAAACAATGAATGAACTAATGAATCATGATGGACTAAATTTGAGTTAAATTAAATAATCCTTACCTAAATCGAAATATAACGAAACAAAATAAGATCAAAATAGTTTAAGTCCAGAATCAGTTAGTCCGGGACCAAGATCGGAACTGAAGCCAGAATCGAAATGGAGACAACAACAAAGGGGGGGGGGGGGGGGGGGGGGAGGGAAAACCAATAGACTAAGGGCCGAAGCCGAGAATGGGATCAGAATCGAATTGACGTTAAATAAAAGAAAGTAGAAGTCAAATCACGCCGTGCCTGGGTCAAATCCTACTCGGGGTGAATTAAATGAGCATCCAATAGGATTAATTTAATCACGTTACCTTGCAGCGTGCCCATTGGATCATTCCATGGTACGTTATATCAAAATCAGGACAGCAGGGTGAGATCAAATGAGATTAAGTGGAATAATGAGGTAATCATTAAACTAAGTCATAATCCGATAAGAATTATATTCGGGGGTAAGTTAAATCGGAACAAATTACCCCTAGCGGAAATTAGATGAACTAACATGGACAGCCAAAGTAGGAAACATAAATGAATAAATACAGAATAGTATATGTAACTAACGGTATGAGAAGCTATGAAGGAGTGAATAATAACTGTAAACAAATAATTGACAGTATTAGGTGATGTGAGCTGAAGCCAATTAAGATTAGTCGACTGAAATACGAAATTCGATCCACACGACACGATCGGTGGTCAAGGGTCCCAGCCCAGGGTCCCCAAGCCAATTACCAGGGTGACCCAGAACCGAGCATTCTGAAGTGTCAAAGTGTATGAAAGGCAAGGGAAACACAGTCCAGGATCCATCATAAATCTTCAGGACGCAATCTGGCAGGAATAACAGCAACATATACGAATTGGTCGCCACGGCGGCATCCATACGCGCTCAGATATTAAACAAGGAAATAAATAAGCAATAAATCAAGGGTAAGTAAAGGATGAAAGTACTAATTAGTAATAAGTATGTAACTATAATAAATAATAGATAGATAAATAAGTATGAAATAAAGAAATGAGCAGTAAATGTATAGGGTTGCAAGAGAAGAGCCCCATTTAGTGCAGCCATAGATTACTTATACATATAAATTAAGAAAGGGAAAGAAAAGAGGAGACGGGAGGGGGGAACAGGTCGATACCGATTAAGCAGGCAATACAAAACCAAAACTAAATAATAACCTAAGTATCGCCCCGGGTAGAATATGAATTATTCACTCCATTGTTTCATGGATCAATCAGGCGGTTCAAGCAAAATGAACCGCTGCTAAACCGTTTAGGATCCTGTATTTAAGATATATTATGTTATTTAAGATATAAGAGCATTAATTATGCCTCATCAATCATTACTCATACCTCCCTCCACATCGCTGCACCCCACAACAAGGCAAATAAAATAGCGAAGAACTAGCTAGGTACCACAGTGCCCATATAAGCCTAGACAGTTACATTATTGAAGGAGGAACAGATGAATAGTTGCATCTTATTGAATAATTGCATCTTATTTCGAGAAAACCAAGAAAGTATGGCTTCAACACGCTTCTAGTCACTTAAGCATCAATTGTAACAATATCACGGTTAACTAACATGACGAGAAAGACTGATATGATAAAGAATCAATAATTAACAAGAGACATAAATTGTAATTATTATCCAACAATCAAAGGGAACAATCGCTTAAAGAAGGATTCCTTCATGCATAGATTATCAAGCAGTTCACAAATTCCTCCCCAAATTAAACCCCGAATTACTATCGGAATTAATATCAGAATATTCATTGTTATCCGAACAGTCATGAGCCATGCGCACGCAAAAGAGTTCCCCGGTCATAGGCGCAGACAAGGGGGGAAAGTTGCAACCCATTCAGCCAACCGGTCTCCACCCCCCCCCCCCCCCCCCCCCCGCCCGATGCACAGACCGCGCTGTCGCGGAGGAATGCGCCCACGCAGCCAATGAGCACACCATCACGTCCTCCAATCACCGGCCTGTCCAGTCAAAACCCGCCTTGTCACCGTGGCCACAGAGGAAGATGGGGGGGGGGGGGGGGGGGGGGGTAGCAGCAACCTCAGCGAGAGGAAGCCCATTCACTCGGTTCATTCGTACACTGTTCTTCATCGCAATCGAGTCAAGTCAAGCGCATCATCGAAGACCAAAAGACAGCAAGACAGCAAGACAGTGAAACAAGGACCAGGACACCAATACCAGAACATCAATACCCACCACAGCACGGTAAGCCAATCATAAGTCAATTATCATAACTATCAGACTATAATTGTCTAATTGCACAGTCAAAATAACCCTCCCCCCTCTAGGCAGCAATTAAATTGTTGCACAACCAACAACTTGTCCAGTTAATAATTCAGTTAACCACTCTACCCCATCTGCCCCTGATTACATCCAGCCCGATTAAAGATCCAACCGCTTAACAGAAAGAAGAAGGAGAGGGAAAGTACGTGAAGGGCCGCACGACCGACTACAGCAGCTAGGCCACAGCCGCCCGGACGAAGCAGTTAGAGGGGCAAGGACAACCAGAGCAGAACAGAGTAAGAAATTCTTCTAATTCCAACCGACCAGGTGTCTAGTGCAAGTGCAAGTAAAGTGCAAGTAAAGGTTTGAGTGGGGCGAAACGCATTTAATCCCTGCCGCGGGAAACGCCACAGCCGGATCCCCACGCTCAGCCCTTGCATCGGCTCAGAGTCAGGAAAGGATCCTAGTGAACCCGAATGTGAGTACCGTTAAGTCAGCTCCGAACTTCCAGCGCTCAATTCAATCAAATTAAATTGTTAGTCAAGATTCAATTCAAGTCGAAACAAGGTAAACACCGACAGTAAAGTACCTAAGATGACAGTAAAATAAGACTTAAATCAAATCCAGAATAGAATCAATGACCAAAGTTAATCAATCAAAGCACCGTGACAACGGCGCAATTGAATTGGATGGGCCAATTAACCGTCGAGTAGATTAATATTAATCAAGGTCCAGCCAAAAGCAAAGTCAGAATTTAAGGTTACAAACAGCAATTAAGGTGCCCCAGTCGAGACCATGCTTGGACAATAATCAAGACCATGTCGGAATTAAAGTAACAATCGGTACCAGTATCGAATAAGAAGGAAAATCAAGTTATTAATTTGCTAAAATAGAAAATAGAAAATAGAAAATAAAAAATAGAAAATTTCAGTAGACCATCGACGAAAAATCAGAATCAGCGGATCGTCACTGCGGGCAAACCGCTGTTGTCACCGAAAGAATGGGAATAATAATAATTCAGACGAACTACAATCAGTATTAATTAATTAATCGGGATCAAATTGAGCTACATCGATCCGAAATATAATTCGGATGCGAATGCAAATCAAAATGAATGTAGTTAAATGCACTCATACTAAGGTAACGAAAGCACAAATTTAAATATGTGAGTCTAATCATCGTTGTAGCAGCAAGATCCAGACCGAATCCGAGCAAGATCGGATAAGCCAACTCATCCTAGTATTTCGTCCGACTATAATTAATAGGCAACTTTAAATTTAGAATCAGTATGATTACAAGATCACGAGCAGGGTAAAGGCCAACTCAGAATTAAGCTAGCATAATCCTTGAAATCGAAATTAATAAAATAAGAATTGTGATTGTTGTATCGAAAGCATTCAAAGTCAGAAAATTAAATCGAGATGTAGAAGATCAAACATAACTTAACCATTGTAAGTTAAACTCGAAATTGCAATTGTAACAAAACAACCATGTCAGGATTGGATCTAAGTCAAGTTAGGAAAGTAAGAGCTGAGTCAAGGTCAGCCTCAGACCAAGCTAAGAATTTCAGTAAAACTAAACGAAATTTAACAGTTTCCAACACAAGCCCCTGAAATGCATCAATACCCATAAAACACCGCTACAATACAATATCCCTCAGTAATACAATATCCCTCAGTAATGATTAACTACTTCCAATTACAGCAATTAGACGCCGTTTTCAGTGGGTCCGTTGAGAGGGCTGTATCCGCTCGTGTAGAGAGAATACAAAGAGAAATGATGCGGCATGCGACTGCGGTGGTACACCTGAGCCAAGCAACGAACAGACGGCGCAACCAGTATCGGTGGACCCGCCCCGCACCACCACCGCCAAGACGACTACCATCCGCCTCCGCACCGTCAGCAGGCAGCGCACCGCCACCCCCGTTAATGGGGGTGAATGTCCAACCGCCGAACCAACCACAGAATCAAGCCGGAAATCCCCAGAGCAACCACCAAGTCCCTCCCGAACAACACTTCAACCAGACACCTTATCCTTACCCGCATCCTTACCCAAATCAGCATTTAATACATCCCTATCACCAATATTTACTGCAGCACCACATGTTCCCGTTCCAGTACACCCACCCATATACACCCTGATACCCGCCCACTCACCCACATTCATACCCATACCCGCCGTATCCCTTCTAATAAAATAGTGATAGTGATAGCATACATTAATAGTGTAAGTAAATAAAATAAGTTCGAAGTAAGCTTAAATTTAATCCAAACCTATATCCGAATTATATATCAGTTGTTCATTTAGCCTAGTTTAACGTAGCTTAATATCCAGTAGCCACATCAACGTGCCGTGCTCACACCTACTTCTAATATTAATTAAATCAATTGTTACTAGTTTAAGTTAAGTATAAGTTGCTCGATAAATAGGCATGAATTGCTAGTATCTAAGGAACAAATAAATATATAAAGCACCAAGCATAGTTTGAAATTGTATTGCATACCAATCCCAAACCCTCCCCACGAATGGATTGAAGCGACCACCGAAATGATCGACAGCGAGGTATAAATGAAATGCCATTCAAGTATCGTCCCAATCATATAAGCAGATACGAAGGAGCAGAGAAGGAGAGAGCATAAAGTCCGCATTTTATTAACATGTGCAATCATTACCATACGTCATTGTGCATCATCATAAGCATTCTAAATTACTACACCGGTAGAGTGTACAGTGTACAAAACATGATAAATGAATAAATAAAATGAGACAATCTCGATCGATCAAACCGGAACCCGTACAATCGATTGCACCGGATCCGGCGCGGCTGTATCGAGCTAATCGAAGTCGAGATCGAAATTTAACTCCAAAAAACAGCCGCTAGAGTGCACGGCCATCGCCGGGCGTACAGGAAAGTGCACCGCGTAACAAAGCCGCACGGCATACGTCAAATCCTAGTCGGTTAAACTTAACCTCAAAAGGCAACCATTCAGATGATTAAGACTGAACAGTCAAACATTTAACAATCAAACAGTTAACCCTACAACCAAAGATAGCTGAAGAATGGGTGAGTAGAAGATTATAAAGGCAATGAGAAGGGATAGTTAGAAATAGGTTAGTTAACAAAATAAGTGTAACATATATAACCGAATTCACACAATCGGCAAGTCATCCCAATCAATATATCAACAATCAATATCCAATAACAGGTTACACATAGCACAACAACATCCCAACCTTAAAGACAACAGCAGATCAGCTGTTGCAAACCCCATCAGGCGAGTGGTGATGCACTAATTTATAAACACATGTACATAATTCTTTACAGACATACATATGTCCGTACACCCGTAGAACCTATATGCAAACAATCAGCAGGCAAGGCGTTCAATTAAGTCAGCAACAAGAAGATACCGTTGCACAGTCATTGAGATAAGGTAACGGAGCACATAGTATGTAGAGTAATATTAATAATACAATACAAAGTATAGACAGCATCCAGACGCAGTTAGATAGCCAGTCAAAACCCAAAGAATTAACTATAATCACTCAAATTCTCAACAGCGAGTCAGAAGCTACGAGCAGATTAATATACCTAATGGAATAAATGAAATAAGATACAGAAGAAAAACCGATGCATCGACCAGCAGCCGTCCGGAGGCTCAGCACCAATAGAAAGAACAAGGGGAGGACGACGCAATCACAGGAACCACCCCCCATGGCTCCCTCAAAGGCACGAGATGGTGGGTAGTGTAAGTAAACCTATAAGAGGAAGGAGGACCTATAAGAGAAAGAGAAAAGGAGGAAGAGAAGGAAGAGAAGAGAAAAGAGAAGAGGGAAAGCTAACGTATGGGCCATCTCAAAACCATGTCAGGCCCTGTACAGGCAGAACAGTCCAAGGCAACTAACTCAACCCTCAATAATCCCTTCATAAAACTCAAGGAAGGCAAGAGGGAAGGACCAGGTAAGTAAGTTAAACCAATCCTATAAGGGAAAGAAAGACCTGTTAAAGAAACACAAATTTACATATAGGAAAGAACGCAGGGATGCATAGCATAGAACAAGTAAATCAATCAATCGCGGCACCAGGTCGGAAGTACAAACAACATCAACATCAACCGAAATCCGGTAGGCGAGATCCGAAACCCTGAAGGCAGAGATAAATACGCAATACATTAAGGACGGGTGATTAATCAAGCAAATGGGTACGAAACAGTCAATTACCATCGTTATTAATCGATCTTTCAATGCCCTACAGCAATCACGCTGAAGCAAAAGATGCCGATTCGAATTAGGATAACAGCCACCAAACTATAAATAGAGATTCCCTGAGCATTGCATCATATCAGGGAGATGTAAGGACCGGGACTGAGATGCAATCCTGTGAATGGGTATTACAACAACGAGTATAAATACGAAAGGTAGGCATATATAGATTATTAAATATAAATGCATACATGCATATATACATACACACATATACATACATATACCCATGTACATATAAGCGGGCTAGCCAAACTTATCAAAATTCCACTCTTCCTGCTCAGCGTCACCCGTCTAATTATGGAGAGATGAAGCCCAAGTCCTGCCTGTGGATGATCCGCACGTAGGCCCAGCTTAATCTCGGGTAAGAACCGCCCAATCCAAATTATGATAGTACTAAATGGAAATATACCAGCTCAGAACAAGCCGTCCATTATGAAGACGCCCGAACCTCCGTCGATGCTCAGCCAAATATGAGAAGTGAGGATGAAGCATGCTCCGCCCAATTACAACTTAACACGGGCATGCAATGACACATGCACGTGGCCAGCTCGGTTGGAGTTCTACAAATTAATGGTGGAAATTAACACTAGCCACCCGATTCAGAGATTCGTGTAATTGCAGAAACAGAATAGACAGAGTGAATAACAAAAGAGGGCTGTAGGTAAAGGGGGCTGTAGGTAAGAGGACTATATGGAATAAAGTAATATAAACGAGAGAATCGGACGAGGGTACAATGAAATTGAAATTAATGAGTTAACCCATTTTTAATCCATTTCAGATTTCTGAGTCGAATACAAGCAGAACGAATTATATGATCATTGCAGAGAGAGCCACTGAAATATAAGTCATCGCACCCATGAGAACAGGAGGGTCATCGGCAAGAGAGAAGAGTACAACGTCAATATAGAATGACTGTATGAAACCACAATAAAGCATAAAATGAGAAATGTAGAAGGTATAGAGCGTACTCCCTTCTACCATCAAGCCAGCAATCCCAATTCCTGTTCGTATAATGAATTACCCACAGGCTGGAAGATCTGCTGCCCATTAAACTCTGAACCAAGCCACCGAAGTCATACACTCGGCAATTGCACCATAATCTCTTCAGGGTATGCAGCAAAAATAAGAAGTAAAGTATAATTATAAATTAAGGTAGGCTAATAAGTTAAGCAACCATTGAAGGGAGGCGTGAGGATGAGAAATTAAAAATTAACCTGCATATGTAAAATTCACCACTCACTACTCCCCACCACTCGCGCCTCCTCCCTCCCCCTCCACCATTCGAGGCCAGCGCACCAACCAATCCCGTGCCGAGGAGTAGGATGAAGATGCAACGTTCGCTCATTCTGTTGAGC